ACCCCCGCCTTAAGCCGGGCATAGAGTCAAATATTATTGTTTGCGCTGTTCTTTTTGGTAGTTGGTAGTAGTAGTACGACACTTCTCCCCCTTCCTCTATTTGTCTTGGTTTCTGTCAGTTTGGAAATATCCTAATGTGTTGTGCAATTCTATTGCAATATGCTGCCTTTAAAACCAGTATAAAGCACAAGTAAGGACGTCCTACCACGGTAACAATAGCGCTTGCGGCGTCGATATTTATGGAATCTTGGACCGTCTTGTTTTACTAAGTTTACTCTAGTGCTGAAAATAAGGAAGCATCATTGCCAGCTAGTACAATTCTGCTTGCTTATGTGCGGCGATACCGCGTACAAAAATGAAGCGTTGGGAGGGTGGGTGGGGTGACCAGTGTGGTTCAAGTAATAAATAACCCAGCACACATTAAGTGAGGATAGGATAGAACAACCGATCGGCTGAGCGCAACTTTACAGTCAGTTCTGCAGCATGGCATATGACTGGCATCCGCCTAGATAGAGAAGACTACATGCAGTGATCCCCAGGGAGAAGGGCGTGTGAAGTCGTCAAGCTGCAACTGTCCAGGTGCACGTTGGTTCGCCGCATTGTCAAAGAGGCCATAATGTAGTTTGCGCATTGACGAACTTATCATAGTTTGGAACTCTGCGTAGGTGCCTGCTCTTGAGCATCTTCGAACTTATTACAGAAGGACCAGTGTAACACGATTGAACACTCGTCCCCCTCCCCCCGCCCCTGGTCCGTTCTCGGCAACCTCCTTCCGAGGGTTCTCTCCTACCCGCCCTACGGAGCGAGAGAGAGGGAGCCCCTGAGGGAGGAGTCCTTTGTCTCACATTGTTTTTGTCTGGTTTATTCGCAACGTTCACGCAGTGATCACAACAGCAAGATAGATTTGCTAACCCTACTACAACTATAACTGAAATTAAGCGACATTTCTGCCTAAACAGAACTATCAGATAAACAAGTGAATTACCAGAGAAGGAATCAAAAACTAGCGTTGTCAGCAGTTTAACCGATGACACCAATCGCTAAACATCCATGATCTTGAGTTATACACAAGCGAGTTAATTTTTTGAAGGTAAAATTCCCGTGTATGTTGAACTTCTATATTAAAGATTTCAATGTTTGTCTGACGGCTGGTAATCGGGCCAAATAAACCTGCACCATTTGCAGTCTTAGCAGTTCGGCGTGATAAATCCCCGGGACAAAACATGGCTGTTACATTGAGAGCAATTCAGTTAATACATTTACGATCAAAGTAATATTTTAGATCTAGTGAATTCACGGGCAGCTATAGCCTAAAATGTCAGTATTTTCCGTCCCCTAACCTTTGTTATGATGCGGCAATAGAAAAGCGGTAAATAAATCAAAGATAAAAATAATTATATACCAACGCGACGTGGAAGACAACAGGGAATGGTATAAACAGAGACAAAACAGATGCTGGGAGACACGTGACCAGCGTTTTCCAGGGTCTCTCTCTCTCTTGCTCCGTAGGGCGGGTAGGAGAGAACCCTGGAAACAAGGTTGCGTTCTCGGCAGATTCATTCTGTGCTAACGTTCTAGAGCAGGTCCCCAATCATAGACTGCGTAAGAGGCGCCAGTTTTTGGGGCGAGCGGGGGGGGCGGCTTTATAAATTGCCAAAAAAGGTAAAACAACCATATTTTACGCCCATAACACGTGACAGTAATAACTGAAAAACTTGAGGTCGACGGTGCGCTCATTAGGGAGTTTAAGATACGGAGACTACGGTCTGCGAACTACGACTGGACGAGCGTTGTCATTTGTTCGTAGCATAGGGCTGAGTTGTGCAAATATAGAACGTTAAGATTGCACTACAGACAGTAGACTACGAGAGAAGAGGCGGAGGGAAAGAACACGCAAAGATTTTCTTGTTTTCATCACAGTTCGCAAAAATGCAACGGCCAGTTTTGCGTGTGATCTTATCTTTAGAACAAGAACAAATTCTTCCATACTTGAAGGAAGCAATTTCGTCGGGTGAAATTGGTAAACAAAGTTTGGTTACACAGGTTTTATTTTTTTCTCCCATGAATTCTTATGTCAAATATTAAAGAAATAGACAGAAATAGTAATAGTTCATTTATTAGATTTAGAAGATGGACTTCTCCGACTACTGATCTGATTTAGTTTGAAGTATTGAAATGCCGAGTTTCGATTGTCTCGAAGATGTTTACATCATTTTCATTCAGCAAATGCGATACAAAAACTGGCATAAACCAAGGTTACACAACTAGAAAAACACAATAATCAGTTCAAACAAACATTGAAACTTTTCAAGTGGGAAGAGAAAGTAAATTACCTGCACGATTTCTCTTCTCCTGGGCCGTCAATCGGAATTCTGCGTATAAACAGCTAAGCTTAGCTAGATAAAAATGTACCTAGCCTGCCGACGGTGTTACACTCCCGATGCGCACCTGACTCTGTGCTCGTGTATTTGGTACTTGTACCAAACTCGCCTAAAATTTCCACGCTGTAAATATCGTCGCAAGCGCAAGATACAAGGGTAGTACGATTTTCTAACTCGTGCTTTTGTTACTTGTAATTATAAGCTTTTTGTACATGATGGGCCATATTATATAGCGTGTTGCAGAATTACTGCGAAACGCATTAGGTTTTTTCCTAAGCTGACAGATCTATCAGGATAGGGAAAAAGTGTTGAACCAAAACAAACAACTAGAGAGAAGACGTTATTTACATTTCGCGGTTTAATAGACAAGCTCGGGAATCACAAGCTTGCGATCGGTAAAACTACATCGTAAGAAAAAAAAATTGAGGTTATCTGCTCATTCAATGGCATACCTATAACATGTAGGTTACAGATGGAATTTTTTTTCACACAAATCAGAAATAATCGCTGTGTGTCATGTTTTCGTAACGCAATCGAGTCTAAAACGGCTCTTTCACGTGACTCGTGTCATGTCGAGAGAGCGGGAATTTCGCAGTGGTTTGTCTCGGTTTCATCGCAGAAATGAAGTCAAACAAGGACACAAGGTACAAAAAATAAATTGTAGCCCTGATTATATACTAGAAAGGATAGATATTTGGTGTAGATTTTGAAAACTTCGCTGTTTCGTGATCAGAACTTGACCCAAATGTTTACATTGGCGAGGCGAGTTCAAATAACTATGCACCTGAAGGCCAGGATAAGAGTTCTTCTTTCACAGCTGACAAAATGGTATGAAACGTTCCACCTAACATATATGAAGCGTCTATGTATCACTGTGGGACTTGAGATTGCTTAAATTGAATGTATTTTGGCTGAAACATTTGTTGGAGGATTGATTTGTGTTGGGCCGAACCTCTTATCTGTAAAGTCAGAAAGGTCAAATTACACTTAAATGCTCCGTGAATTTTGCGTTCCGAAAAATTCATTTCATATGTTGCCCAGAGTTTTGAAAGCATATTTTGAAAGCTCTAGAGATTGCTTTTTAACATGGAATGTCTTTTTCTGTTTGAAATCATGTATCGGATGTGTTTTTAGGCCTTTGAAATTTGACAATATTTTGCTCGCGTAAAATCCTTAAAAATTTTGTCTTTATTTAAAAATTCATAAAATATTTCAGTTGCAATCAATTCGAGAACATAACCTCTCAAAATGTGTATTAAAACTCGTTTCATACGATAAGAAGCTTTTTGGGTTGAATGATATTTGAATTCGATTCAAATCGTGGTCTTTTCGTAGCCCGGTCTAAAGGCCCGAAAAAGTGGTCTGGCGGGGGGCGTCAATCGCCCGAAATTGGCATTCGCTGTATCGCGAAAATATTTATCTGATGAAACTAAAATTTATATTTTCATAACTAGAATACCTGGGGTAGTGTACATATATTTTTTGCGATTTTCCAAAAATTTTATTGTTTCCATCTCTGGTCGATATTTACAGACATCCGCTCTTAAGTTTTTTGCTCTCCAACTCAGAGGTATCGAGTTTTACTGCTGAAGCTCCAGCCCTTTGGCGTTGTTAAATATTCACTTCCTTTTTATTGCATCTGATTGACAGATAAAAGACCTACAAAGGGGTGTGAGGAATTTCCCGATTTCCCTTTGTAACTCATTTTATGTCAGTTTCTTTGCGTAAATCGCGCTCGAGATTCGACTTTTTACTTTAAAATACAATAATTCCGCTAATACGAGACATATGCAAAGCTTATGGTAAACAGGTAGCAATGTTGGTGAGCTAGTTATATAATATGGAAAATAAAACCAAAATTTGTCTTTTTTTTTTTCAAAACTAAAAGTCTATCTGTAAGACAAATCCTAAAAAATAACAGTCAAAATTTTCAAAGACAATACACAAGAATATCTAGTTGCACCTTCCCTACCACCACCATCCCACCACTTGTAAAGTATAACTTGAATACCATTCCTTGTGCTTTAGAACATACTCTTATGCAGACATTTTGTTAGAGTCAACTTATATTTTCCAAGAAACTAATAGTGTTGCTTTGCAGTTCTAAAAACACAAATGTTTTTATTTTGAGATATATTTCTCGTGAAAAGCAATTAAACTAGGCTTAATTTCGTCCTCCCACCTTGACGATGATGTGACCTTGAGAACCAAAACTGGAAATGTGTTGTTGGTAAATGTGACAAAGTCAGTTAATGAAATTCCACTGACTCCCCTTTTGCATCTGGGACTGAAACCAATATTTGTGCTTTTCTTTTACTACAAAGACAGAGTTCAGTTCCATAAATGGGAAACTGCTTTCCTTTTGATGATTATTTATTGCAGTCTCTGGTGATATATCCTGCTTGGACTCTAAACATTTTACTTCCACATTTCTGTATTCAATGTCACCATTGGCATACACTATTGTTGCAATTCTGTCAGGGCTTGCTGCAAGAACATCATTTTCTTTGTCTAAAATTGATCCAGTCTCTTGAACTGTCACTTCCTTGATGTCTGGCAATGACAAGAGATATTCTTTGTACAAATCAGCTGCCACAGGTTCATTTTCAATACCAAAGATCAATCCTTTGTGAGTATATAGCTGACCATTTTTGGGGGTGCTCCTTTTGCTGTAATTTTTTTTACTAGATTTTCTGGTAATTTTGACCCCTGTTTTTGCATATGAGAAAAGACATCTTTACAGATACTGGCAGTCATTCTGTTTTGCTTTTGTTCAAACCAAGCAGGATTCATTGATTGTCCTCTTCTTGCCATTTCAATTTGCATTTGCTTTTCTGTGAGAGTTTCAATAAATAATGTTTCTGTTTGGACTGTTGGCAGTTGTACTTCAGATGGATCAATTGTACTTTAAATAAAACTTGAAATATTCTGTTGTTGCTGTTGGTTATTAACATTACAATCTGATATCTACTGAAGCTGTAGCTCATCATAAGCATTAGAAAGAGTGCTAAGGGGTGCCATTTCTGATTCACATTGCACAGTGGAAGGTGGAGCAGAGACCTCATGATTCAAACTTCAATTTGAATTCAGTGCTTGCCCATTTGAGACAGGATTCACATTTTCTTTACCAGCAAGGGAGGAACTACTAAAAAAGGTACTACCAAATTTGGTGGGAATAATCTTGAAGTTGCTTATGAATTGTTGAACCTTTAGCAACAGTGCCAACTATAGTCATTACTGCTTGAATTGTCTTTTCTTCTGTTAACATAGCAACAAAGGGTATACGAGCATTTATTTTCTAAAGGTCTTGCCTCAGCTTTACAATTCCATCAGCATCATGCTTCTGTGATTTCAGTGGTCTGGGATCGTAAAACTGAGAGTCACTACTCCTTTTCTTCCTACCAGGTAAGTCAGACGCATGTCTTGGTTTTGTTATTTTTAAAGCCATCACTGGAGAGAACTCTACTTCTCGTCTACCCCCTTTTCCCCATTCCCTCGGTTTTGGTGTGCAGCATCTGTTGTCAGGAGTGATATTTTTTAGCTCTGACTTTCTCGTCATGTCCTAAGTTTCCATATGAGCGCCATAACATGACAACAACACCCACTGTTGGAAGCCGGACACTACCTATCACACTTTGCTGCTAGAATCTTTGGGGTCCCGCTTTGTTTACAAACCATTTTCACCTTGTATTTAACATTCCTCATATAGGAAGCCCAACAGCAAGCACGGACGTATATGATGTTATTTTCCGTGTTATTATACACCTGTAACACGCGCACAAAATTGACCATACGGAGGCCTTTGTCATTTGAGTTTATAACAACTGCTGCATTGGTAAGTTTCTTCATGGATTTACCGGAATTTTGTACCTGCTCAAAAGCATCCATAGGCACAAATAAGGGCAAAACAGAAAAAACCTCTGAAAATTGAGTGTTTTCATCCGGTCGGATAGTGTCTAAAATCGAACTACACGAGCTTGCTTGTTGGTCGGTCAGCTCAGTCTGGACTGTTTCGACATTGAGGGTCTTTAGCTTTTCAACCTTTGCTTTCGTGTAGCTCCTCTCAGGATCAGGGTTGTAAACTTTCTCTCTGTAGTAAGGAATCGTGTTGAATGCCTTAACCCTGCGCCCGAAAATAAAAGATTTTAGCCAAAACGAAATTCTTTTGACTAGCGTGGAAGGTTAGATAACAGTGTTTATGTAATACAAGTGCTGCGAAACTTACTTTTCGACAAGATCTTTCTTCAGTCCCTGTTGGTTCAGTCTTCTGCATTTCAACCAAAATTTCAATTGTGGAATTGTCCATTTACTTATGTCTTCTCCATTTTTCACGGATGAACATGGAATGTCTTCTGGTGTAAGGTCTACATCAGAAGACAATTCATGTCTTCCATGCAAACTGTCGGTGTCTTCCGCCATGATTTTTGAGATCCCCGCGAAAGATAGCCCCTTCCATGCAACTTCCGGTCTTAGACTGAATCGGTGTATTATACATGTATACTATATAGCTATATATACATTGTCTTCGGAGGGTTATTTAAGTATTTTTGACCATGCAACTTTTAAAAATTATAACTCTGTTGTTATTTACAATTCCGTATAAAGCTATACCTCATTGGAAAGTCAGTCTCAGGAAACCCATAATATTTTGCCAAAAAAAATTAACATGGCATATTTCTGCCAAAAAAATTTTTCAAATTTATGAAGAATGTCATTTTGCCAGGAAATGTGTTTATTTTGTGTAATATGGTAGCAAAACAGTTTTTTCTTCAAAATCTAAGCAAAACAACGCGAAAATCGTTCGAAAATATAGAGGAACTTGGAATTTTCTACAAATTTATTTTGAGACGCTATCAGATTATGCTAATCGGATTATCATAATTAGCATAATGACATTCTATACATCGTCGTCCCTCGTGCTCAAGTGGTTTACTTTACACAGACGCTTGTTTTCTTTGGTTTCCATCGAAATATCGAGTTAAAGACCAACCCTACCCCGGTTCTCTCCTACCCGTGGGAGGTTGGTTAAAGACAAACAAGCATGAATTTGTCGATATAATTCATCAAAATATCAAAATAAGCAAGGATTTGACGGCAAAAAGCTACCTACCTACCTACCTAAAAAGCTAAGCGAAGGCCAAGCGGGAAGGAATCGGCAGGACTTTTCCGCGGGTGAAGGGTGGCGGGTGGCGGGTGACGGGTGAAGGGTGACGGGTAGCGGGTGGCGGGTAGCGGGTGGCGGGTGGCGGGTTAAAAATATATATGAAATAAAATATTATAACTCGTTATAGTGTAATTGATATAGAGGATATTACACGGTGGCGCGAAGATATGAATTTATTTCGAGTGACCAAACAATATTTTACGAACGAGAACAATATTTTACGAAAAATATTGTTTTTGCTACGAGAAAATAAAATTCATATCTTCAAGCCGCTGTGTAATGTTCTTTTTATTACATAGACAAAAAGACATCGATAAAATAATAGAGGGAAATTATCGAAATTACGTCATCGATAAACTCACGTGTCAGATTATGGAAAATAAACCACTCCTGTCCCGGATGTAGTTTTTATGAATTTTACGAGTGGTATATTTTCCAGTAAAACACTCGTGTCTATATAATAAATTGATATAACTGTATGTTGTAATTTTCAAATAATTTCAACGTTTATGTACTTGTTTTATCTACTTACGCGGAGGTTTACTCAAGGTTTCACGCCGCTATACATCTGCAGTCTGTCATCCGTTACAGTTACTCACGCCATACGGTGCCATGCTGTGCCAGTAAAAAATAATCTTGTCTACATTCTGTACAGTACACAACTGTATGGTGAACGTAAGCCTTGCTTTAAATTGAAACGAAAATATACAACATAGTCCCTCGCCATTTTGAGGAACACTTATACATCATAAACATTTTAACAAGATGTTTTTATACTTTACAAAAAAGCAAGGCAAGACTCCTATTTTTCAAATTTAAACCTTTATAAAAACACAACCTAGCTTTGAGAAAATAGGGATCGAACCTACCGCAGCAACCTGATTGGTTTTTTGCAAGGAGCCAATCAAACCGCACCATTTTCGATTCTCCAAACAAACCAGGGTGGATATATAAACGCTTCCTAAATCAAGCAATACGGAATGGTTCCGAGTTCACCTCAACCATCCCACCACATAGCAACTGATGAGAATCGTAAGATTCGAAACCGCCGGTCTTGCTTGTAAACGTGTATTTAACTACACACATTATGTAGTGGCACAAAGAAGCCCGTCAATTGATTGGTAAAAAAACAACATGCTAATGGTATTGAAAAGTATTGAGCTTTAAAATACTCTCCTCCGATATTAAAACTACAAGTGACATTTACAAAGCGATTGGGTTTTAAGACGACATTCAAAGGACACAGCATCATAATGTATTTAAATCATGCTTAGACGTGATAAATACCCAAAACCACTGTCAGATCTGGATATATTGTTTTAAAACGACTACGTGCTGTGTACGGCTAAACATTGTTCTCTGAGATCGCGTAAACCTAAACTTTACGGAGATATTAAAAGCAGTTACTCTCAGATAACAGCGGCTATGGATAAATTATTATATTTCTGAGTAAACATATCTCATAAACGGGCGACCAATTCAGCAGGAATACGCGCGAACTGAATTAATTGTCTGTTGAACGTTCAAAAGGTTCTGCTCCACTTACACAATTTTCCCTTGCGGAACATAAACTGTACCGAGCCGTATCTTGGTCCGCTATATAGAAGCGATATCATCGTTCAAATTTTAAACTGTAAGATCCCCTGAAAGAGGTCTCTTCATTGGAGCAATGTGTAAAACGTTTCATAGGTTTCACGCCGGTGAAGATGTGCGGCCTGTCACCTCTTGCAAGTTTTTACTTGTCCCAACTTATAACAAAAGAACAAACGCACTTGTCAAAAATCTGAGACACTGTTCAAACATGTCGAGAAGAGAATGCGATCTTACTTGTCTGGTCTCAGGATAAATATATATTACTTTAATTTTTATGAGTTCCTCTCGTGCCTGCGATATCGTGTAGAAGAATATAGCTAAAATATCGCTTTTTGTAATGTTTATTATCCTTTTTCTTTTTTTGGTTTACACTTTTTATTTTTATTTTTGTTATTTTTGACGGCCTGACAATTTGTCACCCGTCACCCACCACCCGCTATCCGTCACCCGCTACCCGCTACCCGCCACCTGTCACCCGTCACCCGTCACCCGCCACCCGTCACCCGTCACCCGCGGAAAAGTCCTGCCGGGAAGGAGTTCATTGCGTTTCAACCACAGGCGGCCCAAACTCACGTTGCAAGAAAAGGTTGTAATGTAATTTACATAACATAGGTGACGCGCCGGTGTCGCGTGACAGGCGACCGTTGAAAATATAAGAGACTTTGTATGAGAAATATATTACTGAAATCTGCGAACGCTAGATTACGCTAAACCTTACTTTTTCTTAAATGAAATGAATAAAAAAGTCTTACCTGCAATCTATTCCACTACGTTTTGGTGTCTGTTTGTCGTTTTACTGTTTTTTTGGCTTTATTGCGTAACCGATCAAACGACGCCAATGTGTCCTTGCAAAAGGAAATATGGATACCTTTGGAATGCTCAGAAATTGTGTGAATCGTGAGCGTAAGATCTGCCGGGCAAAGTACTACGAAGCAAAGGTTAGCCATTTGAGGGAGTGCAAGCCATCCGTGTGGTGGAAAGAGGTGAAAAAGATCAACGGCATGTCACCTGCCTCAGAAACGCGGGACAACACCAGCAAATTACTGCAACACCTAGGTTTTTCACCAGGTGCCCAGGCAAGTTACATCAATTCAGCGTTCCTGACCCCAGTGCAGATTTTTGAGTCTCCTACCCACAATCCTTTTGACCCACCACAAGCCAATAACGAAAGCCATGCCGTAAATATGATATCGGAGTTTTCAACTTTTATGAAACTATCTGCACTCAACCCCTCCAAAGCACACGGACCAGACGGTATCCCGGCATGGTTATTAAAAGAAAACGCTGATCTCTTGGCGGGTTCAGTCTCTGCGATCCTCAGCTCCTCGTTCCACGAATCCCGCCTTCCGCCATCTTGGAAAGAGGCTGACGTTGTCCCGGTCCCAAAACAAAGGCCCATTAATGATATTAACAAGCACCTCCGTCCGATTTCCCTTCCGCCTATCCTGTCTAAACTCGCTGAAGATCACATTGTTGAAAAGTACGTTAAACCTGCTGTGTTACAAAGAATCGACCCTCGACAATTTGGAACTATTCCCAAATCGTCTACTACACATGCCTTGGTCAATATGACGCATAGTTGGCTTGTTAACACCGACGGAAATGGTGCCACGGCAAGAGTAGTCCTACTTGATTTCCGTAAGGCCTTTGACCTTATCGATCACGGTGTTCTTGTTTAAAAACTAGCAACATATGATTTTCCGAGTCAAGTCAAAGGTTGGATTGTAGACTTCTTGATGGACCGGAAACAAAGAGTTAAACTTGCTCAGGATTGTCACTCTGAATGGCGCTCTGTGCCTTTCGGTGTCCCCAGGGAACAAAACTAGGCCCCAGGTTATTTCTTGTCATGATTAATGACTTGGACACACCAGTTGACATGTGGAAACACGTGGATGATACATCTTGTTCCGAAATAGTTACAAAGGGTAGTGAGAGCAAACTCCAAGAAGCTCTGGATGACCTTTCGAGACAAGCGAGTCTCGATGGGTTCCAACTGAATGAGGCCAGGTGCAAAGAACTTCGAATTGGATTCTCAAACAGCAACCACGATTTTGAACCCCTAGTCCTAAATCGCAAACCCCTTGAATTAGTCACCAGTGCCAAATTGCTAGGCGTGACCATTAGCCACGATTTAAAGTGGAACATGCACTCTTCTGAACTAATTAGAAAATGTTCCTCTCGTCTCTATTTTTTACGTCAACTCAAGAGATCCGGAGTGGCACCAAGTGACTGGTGCAATTCTGTGTGACATGTATTAGGCCAGTCCTGGAATACGCAAGTCCTGTATTCCATCGTTCTCTACCAAACTACATCAGTGAAGATTTGGAACGGATCCAAAGAAGGGCTTTCAGAATCATCTATCCTGACCTGTCATATAGTGTAGCACTAGAAACAGTTGGCCTACCGAAACTTCATGAGAGGAGAGAAAAGATTTCAATCGATCTGTTTGACGAGATCGTCTGTAACCCCACCCACAATCTCCATAGCCTCCTCCCCCAAAGGAAGAGTTGTAAATATGCACTGAGACGCAAAAGTGATTTCACTCTCCCCCTATGTAAAACCGAGCGTTTGAAGAAAAGTTTTATTTTTAGCCATGTCTATAAGATGTAGATTATTTTCTTATTTTCTCTTTGTTATCATCAGTATTTGTAAATATCCCGTAATTCAGCCTATGGCTGCAATGGTGTTTATAATAAAGTATCTATCTAAGTATCTATCTATCTCCGCTGTTACTCCTTTCATAGACCGAAGTGAAGGCTGGTCACTTCGATCTGTCGGGATCCTGGACCAGTCGCAACAAAAATGTGTTTTTTTTCGCCGAAATTCAAATCCGCTGCAAATTTTTCAGCTCCAGCCCAAGAAGGAAACCTCTTCTTCCTCTCTGGGAGATCAGCTCGAAAAAAGAATCCATAATTTCACCTAACAAATCGAGCCATTTGTGCCAGACTTCGAGGCACGTCTGGCTTTCGTCCAGTGCCTGTGACCACTGTTTGTTGCGCCTACCAACTAATTTGCATTTGAAATTGGAAACCTTGCTAGGGTGACAATTAGCACTTACGCGACGGGTGCAAGGGCAGAAATGACCCGTTAACGAGGCTCCTCGCCCCACCACGCCAAGGGAGTGAACACGCGATCCCTCACATAGCCGGGACCGTCATGTTATTATTAGTCACCCGTCGTGTAAGTGCTAATTGTCACCATAGCAAGGTTTCCAATTTCAAATGCAAATTAGTTGGTAGGCGCAACAAACAGTGATCACAGGCACTGGACGAAAGCCAGACGTGCCTCGAAGTCCGGCACAAATGGCTCGATTTGATGGGGAAATTGTGGATTTTTTTTCGCGCCAATCTCCCAGAGAGGAAGAAGAGATTTCCTTCTTCGGCTGGAGCTGAAAAATTTGCAGCGGATTTGAATTTCGGTGAAAAAAAAACGACATTTTTGTTTCGAATGGTCCAGGACCCCGACAGATTGAAGTGACCAGCCTTCACTTCGTTCTGTGAAAGGAGTAACAGCAGCTTTGCAATAAAGCTAAAAAAAAAACAGTAAAACGACAAACAGACACCAAAACGCTGTGGAGTAGATTGTGGGTAAGACTTGTTTATTCATTTCATTTAAGAAAAATTAAGGTTTAGCGGTATTTAGCGTTCGCAGATCTCAGTAATATATTTCTCATACAAAGTCTCTTATATTTTCAACGCTCGCCTCGTTACGTTACGTTACGCTCGTTACGTTGCCAGCCGCATTGAAAGAAGTTGAGGAATATTACCAGGTGTCGTGAATATTTTATTGAGAAACCTAACCTAGTTATTGCAACAGTTAACAGAGTTCAGCAAAGGGTGTTATGCTTCACTGTCTTCCTTCAGCTTGGGTTAGTGTCAATCGCATGGGAGAAAACAAGAGAGGTTTATACTTACCTAATAGTTTATCTTTTCTTTGGTTATGAAAACTATAGACAACAAGAAGCATTTAGACATTTAATAATATTAGTTTCAAGGTTTTAAAATAATGAATCAGGAGTGATTCAATTCAAATTTTAATATGTGCATATGAAGATTTAATGGCGATAAAGCCATGCAACGTGGAATTTCACGATTTTAGTCAAAAGATAGTAGAGTTTATTTATATTCCATTACCTTGAAAAGCAACAACCAAGTGAACGCTCCTTTGATTTCCTACACTTTTATCGTTTGAAATCTTGGCTGGGATGTAGGTCTAGTAGTATGTGCGTGTTCGTGTTATTTATTAACAAGGGTATTGTTAGAAAGTGACGCACCAGGCAGATTATAGTTAGTCTAAAATGTCAGTCGTCTAGGAGTTAGGGGGTGGAACGGCTGACATTTTAGACTAGCAGTTTATTGACGAATGAAAAACATAGCTTTTTCAGGGTCAGTACCTACCAAGTTTGAGCATAAACTACGTCGCCATCAATGAAGATTTGGAAAAATTATCACCATAGCTGTATTTTAGATAAAGATGGACATTTGTTGTGATAGTGTTACAATGACAGCGGAGTTGTCATAGTAACAAAATGAAACCATCATCTATTTTTACTTGCAGCCATATTTCTCGACCTTGTAAAGTGTTTTACCAAAATCGTTCACGGGAGCTTTTTCCTCCAATAGCTGCCTCGGTGTTCGTGAAGTTTAATAGAGATCTGCCAGTGCACTCTCGAGATTTTTTGAGATAAAATGTTTCTGGCTAGAAAACGAGTAAAAACTGGACAATCTTGATGTTCTGCCGTTATCTATAGAAATAACGAAGCGCTCTGGAATTGCAATTTCGCCCCATGGTAGTGGAGAAACTGATTTTTTACAAGGCAATAGACCATGTTCGAGTTGCCTGAAGCCTCCGTTTCAAGGCGACGCTAAGTTCAAAGCAATTAATATGAATTTCATTTTTATTCTCATGCAAGTAAAAGTCACTTTTCGCGACAAAGGTTTCTTTACTTATATCCTTGTTTTGAATGTGAGAGTTTTTGGAACTCGGAAATGGCCTTTGATAAAGCTTTGCCGACCTATTTGATAAGTGGTTTAAATCTAGCGAACATATTGCATAGATTTTGTTGCATGTTTAAAGTGTCCATAAGCTAAAAAAATATTTTTTTAATTGAAAATTCACATTAACCTCAGCGTGTGCGTGTGTTTTTTTAAAACTTATCTCAAGTTTGCCTTCTTTTTGCCACCCCATTCATCTAAGTTTTCCTCTCGGGAGCCTCCTGGACCGTGAAAGGAGCTGAGACGTACTAAGGATCCATGTTGTAGATCAAAGAACACGTGACCTTAGATAAAAGTAAACAAGTGTGGAGTGCTAGAAATATTTCTTCCAATTCACAAACTGAAATTGCCGTTAAAAGTTACAATTAGTTTACGAGTTTTCGATTGATTTGTTTTGAAATAGGCAGAGTAAAAGATGGTGCTGAGCGATGCAGAAGTGAGCATTGTAACCGTACTGTACGCCTTTACGATGCTTGCAGCTATTGTGGGCAACTCTCTTCTGATATATATCGTGTGGAAAAAACCTGAGGTACGGTCACTGACAAGTTCTATGTTCGTCAACATGGCCATAGCCGATTTATTGGTGGCCCTGTTCATGATGCCTCTTTCCATTGTCAACGCTCACACGGAAAGTAAGTGGAAGGTACCTGGGTTGCCTGGTGACATCATCTGCAGGGGCTCTATTCTAATTTCCCATGCCACCCTCATTGCGTCTATCCTGTGCCTGGTTTTTATGGCGATCGACAGGTACTGCGCCATTGTCTGTCCTCTGTCGGTCCACTCTGTGTGGTTCAGAAAGGCGAAATTTGTCACACCTTTGATCTGGGTTATGTCAATCGCTCTAATGGCTATCATGCCTGTCGTCTACAAATTAAATTATGAACACTCTTTATGTGAAATTGACCCGAATGTTTTGGGCCAGAACCCGACATTTCGTGGTGTTTACCTCTACATTTTCTTCATCACCTACATAATTCCTCTGGCCACCATATGTCCGCTGTACGCGAAAGCGGCTCGTAAGCTATGGTTTAACCAGGAACCAGGCAATCATCTGATTGAAGAACAACAGCTTCGACTGCTGGTTACAAGAAGGAAAGTGGTCCGCATGCTCGTCATCATTGTTGTGGTGTTTGCTATTTGTTGGCTTCCCGCGCAGGTAATACACCTTTTCTGGGTAGCAACAACTTTTCGTGAAAACCCGCCAGAAATCGTCATGTACCTGGGATTTTGGTTGGCCCACGCAAACAGCGCCATCAACCCTTGGCTGTATATTGCCTTAAGCACAAAGATTAGATTGGCCTTCAACCGGATGGTAACCTTCCGAAAATCTCATCCGGCCTTGAGGAAAAGTACCCAGGGAATGAGTCACTCAACTAAAGCCTCGACATTCCAGGAGGCTAAGGTGTAGTCATACGAACCAGGAGACCAACCATCTTTCTCTGGTGTCGTAAACGTAAGGCAGACCTGTTTTTTTTGCAAGAGACGCACTCGATCGCTGCAACAGAGAATCAATGGATAAATGAATGGGGTGCTGAGATAATATCTTGCCATGGTAGTTCAAATGCGCGAGGTGTTACGATTTTGTTTAAAAATGGTATTGATTACAGCATTAATCATAAAATTGTAGACCCCGAGGGGCGATACATTATTTTAAAAGCTTGCATCCAAGATAAAGTCTATGTGCTGATTAATGTTTATGCGCCGAACAAAGATAAAGACCAAGTGAATTTTTTCAACAAGCTACTTTCAATTTTGCAAAATGAAAATCTGGATTCTGTTGACAACATTATACTAGGAGGAGATCTAAATTGCCAACTTGATCCATTACTCGACAAAAAAAGGCGGAGCAAGTATAAAAAGGAAATCAGTTATCTCTTGTGTCGACGATTTCAAAAGTAAATTAGATTTAGTAGATATTTGGAGATCCAAAAATCCTGACGTAAAAGGCTTTACATGGAGTCAGAAATCTCCCCCAGTGTTCTGTCGTCTCGATTACTGGTTGATACCTAACAATCTGAGCGATTTTGTTGAATTGACCGAAATAATCCCAGCTGTACGAACAGATCATGATGCAATTTCTTTAGAACTCGGAAAGTTAGAGAACGAATTGAAAGGGCCAGGAAACTGGAAAATGAACTGCTCACTGTCAGATGATGAAGAGTACGAAGAAGATATGGCCAGGATGATTCCACTTTGGACAGCAGAAGGACAGAAAGAATTCACAGATAATCGAATGATATGGGATTGGGTTAAATATAACATAAGAGCTCATGCTATTCAATACTCTAAAAGAAAGGCAAAAGAAAGGGTGAAAAAGGAACTTGACCTTCAGGAAGAATTAAGTAAAGCAAAGGGTAAACTTGAAAATAATCCAAACGACCATAACACAACCCATTATAACGTAGTTCGGGAGAAGTTGGAGTCGTTTTACGAAGAAAAAACCAAAGGCGTAATAATACGAGCACGGGCTAGATGGCATGAACATGGAGAGAAAAGCACAAAATATTTCTTAAACTTAGAAAAAAGGAACCACGTTAAAGAGCATATAAGAAAACTGTGCATAAATGGTAAAACTACAACGGATCCGCGCTATATACTAAAAGAACAAGAGCGTTTTTACAGGGAATTGTACAAAAGCAGCATTAATAGTCCTAATACAGGAGAGAAAATATCTTCATTTTTGAACGATCTGAATATTCCCCAACTTTCAGAGGAGCAAAAAAATTCTTGTGAAGGATTGATTTCTCCGGAAGAATGTTCTGAACTCTTGGACAGCTTCCAGAGTAATAAATCCCCTGGAAATGATGGCATTCCAGCTGAATTTTATAGAAAATTTTGGCCTTTAATAAGCGAAAGTTTTATCAGGTGCGCAAATGAATGTTTCGAAAAAGGGGAAATGTCATGCTCACAAAAACAGGCTGTAATTACCCTGCTTGAGAAAAGCGGAAAAGATCGCACTCTCCTCGAAAACTGGCGGCCGATATCTCTTGTTAATGTAGATACGAAAATTATGTCCAAGGTGATCGCAGCAAGGGTTAAAAAGGTGTTACCCAGTATCATTCACTACAACCAGACGGGTTATGTTAAAGATCGTTTCATTGGTGAAGCAATACGTTCTATCTTCGATATTATGGACTTCACAGCTAAGGAAAAAATCCCAGGTTTACTGTTGTTTATAGATTTTCAAAAGGCTTTTGATAGTGTGGAATGGGAATTTCTCATTGAGAGTCTTAAAAAGTTTAACTTTGGACGAGACTTCATTCAATGGATGAAAACCTTTTATAACAACATTCAAAGCTGTGTTATAAACAATGGCGTTAGTTCTAACTTGCTTACTCTGGAACGTGGTGTTAGGCAAGGTGATCCACTCTCTCCTTACTTATTCATAATTGCTGTAGAAACTTTAGCAATTGCCATAAGGCAAAAAGAGTCAATTAAAGGAATCACAATAGGAACCGAGGAAACTAAGCTTTTACAGTTTGCAGACGATACAATCGCTGTGTTAGCTGACACAAGCTCGGCCGAAAGGTTATTTGAACTACTTAACAAATTCGAAATGATCTCTGGACTCAAGATTAACTGTTCAGAAACTGAAGGTATGTGGATTGGATCTAAGAGACATTATAAAGAAAAACCATTCGGTGTTAAATGGCCGGACGAGCCAATAAAAGCTCTAGGTGTATATTTTACTTACGACCAAAAATTGCTTAAAGAAAAGAATTTTATAGAACGACTGGATTCAATTAAAAAACTTATTAATATATGGTCCGCTAGAGGCTTATCGATATACGGTAAGGTGACAATAATCAAATCTTTTCTTATCCCCAAGTACATTTACGTTTGTTCGATTCTTCCAACTCCCAATGAATTGCTAAAAGAATTGAATAAAATACTGTTTAAATTTCTCTGGAAAGGTGTAGATAAGGTAACAAGAGCTTCAGTTATAAATGAATACGAAGAGGGAGGGCTAAGAATGTTTGATCTCGAGTGCATGGTTAAATCATTGAGATTAGCTTGGTTAAAACGTATCTTCAGTGGGACTAATGGAACTTGGAAAAGCTACCTACAACACATAACGGGCTCCGTTGGGGGATTGTTCTTTTTTAACTGCAACTATAATATCTCGGATTACACAATTCCTTCTCAATTCTATCGGGAACTTTTGTTATGGTGGTCGCAATTTCGTGAAACGTTTGCCACTGAAGAAGACTGGAAAACCATAATCTGGAATAACAAAGAAATAAAAGTAGAAAACAAGCCGGTTTATTATAAACATTATGTTAATGCAAGAGTCATTTGCATTCAAGATCTTTTACTTAGTCTGAACAGCACTGATTCGGATTACACAATTCCTTCTCAATTCTATCGGGAACTTTTGTTATGGTGGTCGCAATTTCGTGAAACGTTTGCCACTGAAGAAGACTGGAAAACCATAATCTGGAATAACAAAGAAATAAAAGTAGAAAACAAGCCGGTTTATTATAAACATTATGTTAATGCAAGAGTCATTTGCATTCAAGATCTTTTACTTAGTCTGAACAGCACTGATTCTTATAATGAACTGTCTAAAAAAGTATGCAAAACAAATATTTTAGAATGGGCTGGCTTACGTAGGTCCATTCCATTATCGTTAAGAGGTTATGACAGGTATCCTTCCATAAACTCTCCAACATTTGTGGTGGGTGACAATACTTTTGATGTTACGAAAGGGAAATCAAAGGATTACCACAACCTATTCATCAGAGAAAAAGCTAAACCGCCCAATATTATTAAAAAATTACTGAGTAACTTTCATTTTAATAGCGACAATCTGTGGCAAATATTTAAGCTGCCTCACTCTATCGTTGTCGAATCGTATGTTAAAGCTTTCCAGTACAAGGTAATTAACTCAATTCTTTACACAAATACAAAGTTGTATGAAATAGGTTTTAGAGCAAATGATTTATGCTCTTTCTGTGACAATCAACCCGAATCATTAACTCATTTGTTCTATCACTGCTCGCGCTCTAAACAGTTTTGGATTGAATTTGAACTTTATTGGTGCCTTATTTCGAATCAACGAATTCGTCTCTGCTTGGAAAATGTGCTGTTTGTAATTTTGACGGAAAATACTCGCCCTTTACTTCAACTGCTGAAGTATTTTATAATTATTGGAAAACTCTATTTGTGGGACTGTAGGAGCAAACAAATCTTTCCAAACATTTATGGATTTAGGGCCAAGATCATCGCTAAATATGAAACAGAAGAAAAAATCAGCAACAAAGAATTCTTTAAAAGAAAGTGGATACTGACGCCTTATTTAAGTTAACTGCATTAACTTCGTATTATTTCATTGCCCTGTTGTACTTTTTATAATCTCTTTTAGCCCTGTATTAATTTAATAATTTAATAATTAATCTTGCTTTACTCTGTTAATGTCTATTGTTAAAGTGTTTTGTTTTGTTTTGTTTTTTTTTCCTGTAGTATTGTAACTGTAATTATTTAATGTGATTATCAATAAATATATTGGAAAAAAAAAAGAGTAGAAGGCATATATGATTTTCAGCTAGCAAGTTGTTTCAAGGACATTTAACCTTTGCCTTTTTAATTCACGCAATAACTGCAGATTACTTAATGCAGTGGTAAGTAGTGGATAAAATAGCGACAAAGTGATCGACTAAAAATTTAAAATAGAGGTTCCCTTGATGATTTTTGCAGGTAAATGTGGTATTAGTAGACGTTTTTTTTAACGTATTTATTGGTTTTAATATGTAAAGTACGGAATGTTTTCTTAAAAGTAAAAGAGCCTTGCAAAATGCCTTTTTAAACTGTAACGAGAGCTTGACACGTATCGGAGTAAGCGCATTTTAGATCTATATTGGCCCAGTGCACTTACGCATTTTAAAATAACCTACTAAATTTAGTTTACTAACTGTTTTGTTGGATAATGTATTAAATAATGTATTGATTAAAAACACATACACAAACAAACAAACATTGATGATGACATGTAACTTAGCATAGAAAATAGATGCTACTTGAAAGTTTTCAGCTTTGAGTAAATGAAAACCATGCGATGTCTGAGTATGTTTTCTTCGGGTCACTTTTCCTTGCATCCAATGTCCATTATCGAACATCTAATGGAGCAATTCGCAGGGGCATGGAGTCTCTGAGTCTTTACATAATCCCTCGCCCAAACCAATGACAGGTTAGCTCATTAGACCATGATGCCGTGAGGTTATGCCCCGCATTTCCAAACAGTTCCATGAGTGCATCTAATCCTTTCTAGTTTACAGGGTTGTTCAACAGCGTTGAGTGTTTGGTTTAAAATTGCAGTAAACTTGACTAAGTGACAATTCATCAATCCTGCAAAATTGGGAAGACTCTATTTTCAACCTGAAGGAACTCTTTTTCAAAGTATTAAGTTCCACTACAATGAAAGGAAAATAATTTGTACTCCGCCTCCTAGTGCTTGTCATTTATCCCTGTCACCCGCAAAATCGATTTTCTCATCTTGATTATTTTTTAACTCGTCCACCGATAAATCGGGTATCTCATTGCCAAATAGAGCCTGGAAGTGAATTCAAATGTCACGTATGCAGTCCTCTCCGTTTCAAGAACTAGTGCTGCTAAATATTCTAATTCATCGTATGATTATTAATCAGACTGAAACATCGTGTTTTACACCAGCTGTTGCAGAAAAACCGAAGCAATGATTGTGCGTTTGACCATGTTGACAATCAACAAAAGTCGAGGAATTCTGGAAATCAATGTCCCAGTCACAAGCGCGTTTCATTAAAACGGTTGGAAAAGTGTGTAATACTGCAACCAAATCAACCCAAAGCGGTTTTGGTTGAAACCATTGCGGTTGATCCTAATAGAGAACACGGCCTCAATAGCATTGATACCAGCTTCGATTTATTTATAACAATATTACTTTCACATATTGATGACATTAGATTTTGATCTGTGTTAAGCTTCAGCGTTGTAAGCTTTGCTGAGGAAACCCGCTTAACAGGAAATGTCATAGCCTACGTGGCTTTCGTTACTAGTAAAAGGGGAAGAGTAGGGGGAATTCGGGCGCGCGAGGAGGGGGAAGAGGGAATGCCTGCAAGAACCCTATAGTTTTTTTCAAACCGCCTCCTAATTGATATTCAAAGATAAGATGACTGTAAAATGTCCATCGAATCAAAAACGTTAACCGGAGCTCTGGGCTCTGTTTCAGAAAGAAAAAACAAACAAACAAACAAACAAACAAAAACAAAACAAAACAAAAACCAAAATCGCATGGTGGGTCAGTTCATTGTGAGACCTAAACGCAGTCGCCAGAATAAAAGCAATTTAAAGGCAACACGAAATCCTGCAAAGTGATACATTTGGCGCTATATGGGCTGAAAGACTAACAGATGTACAGTTGGAATTAAGCAGACAGGTGGTGGGACAACAGATTAGTTTTCAGGATCGCAAGAAAGAAAATACACTTAAATTTCCCAGCATCTTATATAATGTATGCTAGGCAGCCTCCTGACACTACTTATATTGATTTGAGTTATTAACAACGTTTTTTATTAAACATTTTATCACTGCTGGAACCCCTCCCTAGAGTTGTTGATATGTAGCAGTATTTTAAAAAGATTTTACTTTCAATGGGAAACCTTTGATCGTCGCTGCAAGATCAGGTATATTTTATGAGTGGTAGTGCTGCTGGAGGCCTTGAATTTTACCAAGAATTATAAATCAGGTAAAAACTGACAGAATTGGTAATTTTTTGTGCTTGACATGTAAAATAACACATAAATAAGTAGACCTGTTTTTTTTTTTACAAAATGAGAGTCTCTCGCACTGATTGGTAATTTAATGGCCCTTCTTACTCGCCGATAAAAAGGAAATTCTTGAATGCACGAGCTTTCCAGTTGATAGAGGTATCTGTCTTAAAGATGTCAAAAGTGAAGCTTTCCGCATAGTAGTCTGGAAAATAAGACATTTTGAGGGACAGCTCTAGTGTTATCGTCACCGATTGCAATTTTCCCCAATTCACCCCATTTTTCATTGCCACTGGTCTCCCAAATACAATCCACAGCAACATTACTCACAGAAACGAGGGGTCCTAAAACCTCTAATTTAACTGCTTGTTGACTTGGAACATTAACAACAGAGTGTTTCATTGCTTACATGCAAACTGCACAAAAACTGTATTCCACTGCTGTAACACATGAAACTTTAAAACAACCCCAAACCCCTGGTATTTAACCGAATTACCCCAGATGCATACCAGCTGATAGCCCTGTCTTTACAGCAAGCGGACAGCTAATTAGACAAAAGTCCCCTCTTCCCCCTCAATTTGAAGCAGGCACTGAGCTAGCCCCGGTGGAAATTTCAGCAAATCCACAGTCCAGCACAACGGGCAGGCTCTTTAGAACAATCCCACCCCACTGGGATTTAAGCAGGCTACGAGGGTTAATAGTCTATATTTCTCTTCACTCTGATATGTTCATTAAACTTATTCCTTTTAAAATGGCTTCCCCGCCTGATGTGAAAGATTTTATAATACATTTCCTATTTTGGAAATTAAACTTATGATTGCCAAAAATTCTACGCTTTTAAGGAGAGTTGCTCTTCTCGTGACGAAAAGCTCATTCAAATTCTCAGCGTCCTAGAGGGATTCTTTCAAGCGTTAAAAAGGTGCTGCCTCTAATATTTCTATGTGAGTGAAGTCACTCGCCACCTTTTTGATCTGTGAGTGTCTATAAGCATTCAACTACGCAAAGGCCTTCGCGTATATTGAAGCAGGTAGTACATGTATCTGACAAAACAGCGGTACTTTAACCCTTTAATCTCTAAGAGTGATCAGCATTAAAATTCTCCTTGTAATATCAATGCTTTGTAAAGCAGAGCGGTCATGACAATTACGGACATGATGACACAAGATGAATTATTATGTTCTTGATATTTTATCAACTTCTCCCCACTACTTCTGTGAGAAATGAATTGGGGCAACAAATGAGAATTCAAATTTTGATCTTAGGGTTTAAAGGGTTAAAGTAAGGACTAGAGGTTCGTTCAATTGACCTTCTACTGATTTAGGAAATGTATAGAATAATACTGAGACAGGAATATAATATATAGATTTAACCAGGGCTAAAAGCGAAGCTCTGGTTAATAATACTAATAAACAGAGAAAAATTCAATCTATAATGCTAAAAGGGGACGGCAATGAAAATGACCTAATTAGCAAAAAAAAAAAAAAATTGCAAGTGCAGCACACTTTTTTTTTCGAATTAGCAAAAAGACAAATTTACACGTGCGGCACGCATTTTTGTAGTTTCTTTGCCGTTGTTTTGCTCTGTTACAATGCCGTTTTGTATGACTAAAGGTGATGTTACACGGGACGCGTACGATTCGTAACATGGTGTTGAAATGCTGGAACAATGTTGTAACCATTCAAAACAATGTCGCAACAATGTTGCAACACCGTGTTGCGCTAAAAATCGTCGTTGCGAATCATCTCGTGTAACATCACCTTTACGTCCTAGTTACACATTACTTTTATGGAGGAATTGTCGCATGTGCTTGCAGAAGATTTTGTTTCCTGTGTTCATGTTCGCTTTTATTTTTTCACTGCTGCTCATTTTCACCTGGCCGCTAACATTTCTCATTAATTATCGCACCGCTGCTATGAAAGTTACATGTTTTTCTTCCAACGAAATTCGTCTCCCTAGCTCTTTTTCTGTTGTCCACGTGAGTCTAAACATCAAAAATAACGTCGAAAAAGACACGACTTTGTTGCGATTTTCTTCCGTTGCATTTGGGTAGCCATACCTGTTGATTATACCGAACGTTACAAACAACGAAATAGCCTGAATTTCATCGGATTGCTTCGAGTCGTTTTCTCCTCTCAGCAACGTCTGAATCGACCGACCGTTAATGCCGCCCAGTGACGTCATCACTACCCGAAGACCGGGCAGGAGTTTTGATTGGTTGATTGTCTAAACATTCGCATAATTATGCATAATTATGAGAAATATTCAGGGGATCACATCCCAGTGGCAAGGTTGCGTGGAGTTCAAACATTTCGATAATCCGGCTTTATCGTCAACAGCAAAATTGCCCTTGTCTTCAAAACTGAAATGCTAAATTGAAATGCGAATGAAGAATCATTGCGGAGATTCGGTAGGTTTTTCATTTAGAGCCGCTTTGTGGTTTCGGCATAGCCTAAGTATTAGGCCTTCCTAAGGGGTTAGGGGAGAGGAGATTTTAGATGAGAGGGTGGAAAGGGGGGAGAAGAGAAAGGAAGCTCTCTCCCTTTTTGGCTTCCATCTTTCCACTTTTCCCCAAGGAACGCCTAATACTCAGGCTAGTTTCGGCAGTGATTTTGTTTATGCGAAGTTTGTGAGACCAATGTTGTAATTCGATCTTCTAGCTTTTTTCACCGTCAAGTGTAATGATTCTGTTAGCATTTCTTTCTTGTTTCCTTGCTTTCTTTTTTCTTCGTTAAGGATAGCTTATTTTCAATTGAAGCAAATCGTTGTGTTTTTGAACTAAGTGTTCCGTGTGTGCATTTATTTCAGTGCGTGATTGCGACCGAGTCTGATTATGGAATTACAACCACTTCAAAGTACTGCATGCCGTTGATAGTTTGAACGTTAAACATAAATTACGATCGAAAAAAGTAAAGCCATTATGTATCCTGCAGACA